AAGCCTAGATAAAGTGTTGCCCATCCTGACATGGAATCTTAGATTCTGTAAGAAGTTTTTTTATAAAAATTGACAAATTACCCCGTATTCCGAATTCATGCAAATCATGAAGTATCCCATATCGCCAACAGCAATCGTAGGCCTTCTCTATATCAAAAAACACAGATACTAAGTGCTGTCGTCAAACAAACACTTCGCGTACAGATGTTTCAAGGTCTACTAAATTGTCCGTGGTACTTCTGTTCCTACGAAATCCGCTCTGATGTGGTGAAAAAGCAGTTCTTTTCTTCTAGGAGGAACATCAACCATCTGTTTACCATTCTCTCAAAGAGTTTACACAGGCAACTTGTCAGAGAGATTGGTCTGTAATTAGAGGGATTCTTGTGGTCTTTACCTGGCTTGGGGATGGGAATAACGATAGATAGCCTCTAAGAGTCAGGAAAAGTATGTTCTGTCCATATTCTGTTAAACAGATTCAGAAGATTTATAAAAGAATTGTCAGAAAGATTTTTAATCATGCTGTAGTGGATTTTATCTGGTCCTACAACAGTATTCCCTGAGCGAGAGATCACTGTATGTAGTTCTGGTGAATGGCCCATTATATTCCTCATTAGATGAGGAGTGAAAGTTTAAACACTGTTTTTCAATTTGGGCTTTATAAACCTGAAAATTCCTTGAATACATAATATTGCTGGATGAAGACAAAAATGTTTCACCCAACATATCAGCAATACCCTGTATATCGCTGATTATTGTGCCATTATTTTCCAGCATGGACAGAGACTGAGAAGAATATTTCCCATTAATTTTATGGATTTTATCCCAGACTGCTTTTGAGCTGGTGGAAGATGTTATGCTGGAGACACTTCTTCCAAGAATCCCTTTGGCTTTGCCTTCTTATTCTTCTGGCATTTACCTTAGCTTTTTAAAAAGCAATCAAATTGTTAGCAGTGGGGTATCTTCTGAAAATCCCCCATGCTTTCTTTTGTTTTTTAAATGCTGCCTCACAATTCTAATCCCACCATGGTTTCGGATGCTTTGAGTATCTGGTTGATGTTTTTCCCATTGTTTTTTCAGGTACCTGAATGATACTGGAAGCGACAACTTCGACTGCATCATTGATATCAGCAGTATTGACCATTTCCTCAGTGATGTCAGCCAAAGAGGAGAATGCAGGCCAATCTGCCGTTTCAAGTTTCCAGCGTGGTGGATGGGCTGTTTCACAGCTTTCTCTGCCTTGATATTTTAAAAATATTGGGAAGTGGTCACTAGAGAGTGGATTAGATCCAACCTGCCATGTAAATGTTGAAAACAGGTTTGGAGTTGCTAAGGATAGATCAATGGCAGTGAATGTTCTTGTTGTGGCATGGAAGTATGTTGCTTCTCTTGTATTAAATAAATACAGTTGGTGATTACCCATAAATCTTTCAATGGCTCTGCCTCGACAGTTGATGTCAGGTCTGCCCCACATTGGATTGTGACCATTGAAATCACCAAGTAAAAGAAATGGAGTTGGCAGCTGTTCAACCAAGGCATCCAATTCATCCTCATTGACTCTGACGTCTGGTGGCAAGTATATAGAACAAACTGTGACAGTTACTCCAATAGAAATTCTGACTGCCACAGCTTGCAAATCAGTAATTATTTGTACCAGTAAGGATGGGATTTGGTTTGAAACCAGTATAGCCACACCTCCACTGGCACGGTTGTGACTATCATCATCCTTGCAATAGATATCAAATCCTTTTAATAAAATTCTTTCTCCAGGTTTTAGATGAGTTTCCTGGAGTGCCAGATGGGGTATATGGTGTCAAGTGTTTAACATCAGAGAAGTTGTTGCGGAAACCACAACAGTTCCATTGGATTATTTTATAATCCATTATGTGTTTGAGGCAACATTCTTTGCAAGGGTATCCCTCTTTAATTTAACAGGGGGTTTCTCTTTTGGAGGTGACAGTGGTTTTGTAACCTCATTAGTCTCTTCATCAGAAAAGTCAGAACTCACTCATAGACTGAGCCTCTGAGTTCTTAGGTTTAGAGAGAGAGCTGCTTTCAATTTTTGTTTGTTGAGTGGGTTCTTATTAGCCTTTTTAGAACCCACATTTCTTGTTATTACTCCTGTTTTAGGAAGGGGTGTTTTGTTCTTGCTCTTCTTTTCTGCTGTTTGGGTGGATGGTATCAGCAAACATTTTTCATTTGGGGAAACAGAAATATCTGTTTGAACCCCACATGTCTTTGTAGACTTCAATGCAGCTGCAAATGTCTTCTGTTTCATGATGTGCTCGAAGTAACCATGCAACAAGCCTCTGGGTAAGGTTGTTGTTCAGTTTTTACTCGTTGAATCTCTTTCTGTTTGCCATGCAGGGCATTTGAATGAGTATGCAGGATGTGCATCTTTGCAGTTCACACAGCATGGGGTACTTTTACATTCAGTACTCTCATGATCTTCATTTCCACACGGTGCACATGCTTTTTTCCCCTGCATGACGTTTGCGAGTGTCCAAACTGCTGGAATTTAAAGCAATGCAGAGGATTTGGAATATATGGGCAAACTGGGCAATGCAGATATCCTGCTGCAACAGAAGATGGCAATGTTGATTTGTTAAATGTCAATATAAGATGTTTTGTTGGTATCAATTTGCCATCTTGACGAATGGAAATGTGTTGAACAGCAGTGACACCTTGATATGAAAGACCAATCTGAATATCTGATTTGTCTTCAGACATCAGATCGATCTCAGATATCACCCCACATGATGAGTTTAGACTTCTGTGGGGGGTGACAGTGACTTCCATGTCTTCCAGTGATTTTGTTGACAATAGTTTTACTGATTGTTGAGGTGAGGATGTTTCTAACAGCAGGTCCCGACCTCCATTTTTGTATCTTTTTCAGGTGTCCAATGGTTGATTCAAATATTTTTTGAATAAGAAATGGAGAGCATTTTTTGACAGTGGTTTATCTCCAGTCGCATGTACTATCAAGTAGGTTGCAGCGCTGGAAACGTTAGTTATTACTGGAGGTAACTTATCTCTGTTCGGTTGTTTTGAATTTTTGGAATCCATATTTTATACATAACAATTCAGCTCCTAGCGACCCCACCTACCATGGGAGCCCAACAAGGGAATGCCGTCACACCAGGGTTTTCCAGGAGCTATACCCTCACAATGCAGTCAAGAAGAGCACATCTTGTCTGACATGTCTGCCCGGTCTGCCTTGATCAGTTGACTCCAGGCCGAGGTCAAGGATGACTCAATGACCAGCCAATTGACTCAAATGGAGCCTGATTTGAGCCTCCCGTTTATCCAAAGCAGGGGCCAAAGCAGTGTGTTGGGGACGTTATGTTGCCCCTCAACTACCAGGATTACCCTTTCCAGCATACAGGATACCACGCACGACAAACACGTGGGTGGGCGTTCAGATCCCAGGGATGGTAAAAGAAAAAATACTAAACAATCCCTGGGAGGTCCCCTCACCACGGACAGGAACCTACATCGAGGGGCATAAAACATGCACTTATAATCATTACGAGATAATGAGCAAGTGTCATAGTGTTCTAATGTACTTAAATTTCTCTTGCTAGGAAAGGTATGTTCTGAAGAACCCTTTACCAAAATCTTTAGATCAACCTAGTCACTTGCTACAAAATTGAGCTTTCAAGTAATTTGTATGCTTTTGTGTATAGTTAAAAATTGCATTATTAAGACAAGGTATCAGCACATTCTATCTTCAGCCAGAAACTATGACCCTCTAAGAACAAATTTGAGTTATCTTTGTACAGTTATCTAAATCTCATAAATAATGGTGCCACACAAATTTATTTGTTTAATAATATAACATTTACTTTTTTAATTAAGATCTCATAATTGCTGGGAAAGTTATACAACTCATTGCTAGATTTTTTTAGTAGGTTATTTAACAACTCTTAGGCTGTGTACACATTAGGCGTTTTTAAACGCGTGTTTAAAAACGGCTCGTTTAACGCTCGTCGAACACCGAGCGTTAGTTCGGAGTTAGCACTGGCTCAGTTTGGAAATGGACGTGAAAGTAATTGATTGTGTGTGCTCTTCCATTGTCGCTATAAAAGACGATGGCAGACACAAAGAGAATTTTGGGTGCACCCAATATTACGAGATAGACTGACGCATTGAATGTTTGCGATGTTGTATACAAAACTAAGACAAAATGAACCCAAGTTTTGTAATTCTTTTAAAATATCTATAAAATCCTTTGACGATGGTTGGTCTCTTTTAGATTTCATCAATAAATAGATCAGTATCGAAATGATCGTTCTCCATTTCAGACAATATATCTCAAAAGCGCTCAGCTGACACCCGCAAAACGCGCGATCGAATGTACAGTAACATGGCAGCACATATATCTCAAAGCGCCTGCAAAATGCGCGTTTTAACAAAAATCTATAAACGCGCGCTTGGCCAAAAGTGCGCGTTTGAGTGTGTACGCCTACATAGAACTCTTGGTTCTTTAAAACGCCTAGCGTGTACAGGCTCTTAATAGTTGTTAATAACAAATAAAATTTTCATTAAGTCCAATCCTACTCAAGACATGTTCCATGATCCTTTCAACCTTTAACTACCAAAATTTAATAGCACTGATTCCCCTAATATACAATCCTCCCTGCAAAATTTCAGAAATTTTTGACAAAAGTCGTGGAAATTATTAAGCTTCAAATTGACTGAATAAAATTGTGTCCACTCCACATACAGAATAAACCTTGAAACTTTTTTGCATTTCTCAAAGTTTCAAGATCCCCTGCATCCAAAAATGTTCCAGTAGTTTCCCTCTGATATATATAATATAGCCAGGAAAGTAAAATGCATGTTTTGCCTTATCCTAAATGTGATAAATGTTCAGACACAAGCCAAACTATGGATAGTATGTATAATTTCCGTATGTAAAAGGTATTTATGAAAAATATAATAAGTTTTTTAATAAAAAATTAATTAGATTGGCTCCATCCTTAAATAACAGATTATCAAATATGATGATTATAAGTACCAAAAAAGATTTATTAGAGGAAGAAGGTGTTTATCGGATAGAATGCACTTGTAACAACCCTAGTTTTTATGTTGGTGAAACAAAACGAAGATTAAAGATTCAACTGTCGGAACATCTGGCTGCCGTAAGGTTAAAAATTAGTAATTCTCCTGTCTTCCAACATTGTAATAGTAATATTTGTCAGATTAATACTAATAAATTTGTTAAGTTCAGTTGTAACATGTGTCAGGTGTGTGGATGTAAGCAAGTGGTGATGGACAGTCCACAGCTTGGTCACACATGTCAGGTGGGTGAGGTAACAATATCCCCAAGAATGTGGGGGAGATTGTCCTGCCTAGAGAGGGAGAAATGGTGAGAGAGGGAAAATTTGTGCACTTCCCTTTGTGTGTGTGTAGAGTCAGAGTGTGTGTGGAGGCAGTACTGAGAGGAGAGTGATTCTCATCATGGNCCTCTTCTATAATAAAAATAAAAAAAAATAAAAATATTGAGAGGAGTGCTGACCGCAGTACCGACCAGGGAGCTAACCAGAGTGGGTAGCTGTGTGGCTGGTCAAGAACCAGTATTGTGTAATACCAATAATTGTCGGGTACCGGAGTGTTGCTCGATTGTGGAGTGCCAGAGAGTCACTTACTTATTAGAGACATTAAAGTGTAATTGTGTTGTTATTGTTAGACAGGAAGTGTACCGTGTTCTTTTCAAATCTGTATACAATATTTTCTGGTCCGTCGAGGCGGATGGTGGTAACGTTGAGTGCAGAAGCGGATGGTGGTAACGTTGAGTGCAGAAGCGGATAGAGCGGATGGGATAAAGATAGTGTTGAGTGCAGTGAAGTAAATTGGATAGAGACGAACTTTCAGTGGAGTGAAGATCTACTTCAAGTATTGGACGTTGGACTATTGCTTTAGTTAAAGGATCTTTTACTTTAGTTGTTCAGGTACGATATTTCTAGTTTATTAAAAATGGATCTAAAAACATTGTCAATAAAAAAGAGAGTTGTCAAGAGTAGTTTTACTAGACTAAGAGAGAAAATTCTGGGGAATGTTGACGACTCAGATAATGTGCAACTTGATCTTTACCGTTCGAAATTGGGTGCAATTGCTAATGAAGTAAAGGAAGTCTTTGATAAACTGTTTGATATTTGTAAGGAAGACGAAATAGAACAATATATTGAGGAAAGTCAAATAGCACAAGATTCGATTGATGAGTTGATATTAGTGATAGATAGAACAAATCTAAAATTGGAAAATAGTAATAGTATATCCAACGTTGATAAAGCTAGTGGAATGTCAGATTTAAAATTACCTAAATTGACATTGCCCTCATTTAGTGGTAGTTTTGAGGAATGGTTGCCATTTAGTGACCTGTTCCAAGCAGCTATTACAAACAATGGAAAATTGTCAGGTGCTCAAAAACTACAGTATTTAAAGTGTTCATTAAAAGAATAAGCTTTAAAAATTATACAATCCCTATCCATTTGTGATCGAAATTTCGAAATTGCATGGGAACTACTTTCCCAACGGTATTCTCGGAAAAGAGAATTGGTAGCTTCGTTAATTAAGAAGATATTGAGTTTGCCAACATTAAATTATGAAAATGTGGCACAGATTTTAAATATTGTTGACTCAACTACAGAGTGTATTCGATCCTTAGAAGCTCTAAATTTTAATATAGATGAGTTTTCGAGCATATTATTTATGTTCATTATTCAATTTAAATTGGATGCAACAACCAGAGGCTGGTGGGAGCGCTCACTTAAAGGTGATGATATTCCTCCATTAAATGACTTATTAGAATTTTTGAAGGGTCATGTTAGAACTCTACAGCCAACCAAAACACAGATGAATAAAAGATTCATGCCTAAGGTTACATCTCTCTCGTCTCAAATGAAGGGACAATGTGCATGCTGTAAGGGAGACCACGCTTTATACAAATGTACTAAATTTCAGAAGCTTAAGGTACAGGACAGAATAGAGTTAGCAAAAAGGGAAGGTTTGTGCTTTAATTGTTTGTCGAAAAATCACAGGGTGAGAAATTGCACTGTCAATGCTTCTTGTTTAAACTGCAAGAGAAGACACAACTCACTCTTGTGTTATGGAAAGGAAAGAAATTCCATCTCTAAGGTAGACTCCGAGTCAAATCCACAAACTAGCCTTTCATCCATGAATTCAAGTATATGTCCTGAGATGACGAAAGAGACAATTTGTAAGTCAATTTGTGCCTCACATTGTGAAGGAGGGTCAAGAAAGAATGCAAACAACCAAGTTCTATTATGTACTGCTCAAATTAAGGTTTTAAATTCTAACAACGAATGGGTAGAATGTCGATGTTTATTAGACTCAGGAAGTCAGAGATCATTTATTTCTAAAGAGTGTGTGACAAAATTAGGATTAAATGTAAGGGACAGTACAATTTCGGTTTCATGTTTAGGCGCATTCACCACTATGAGCAATGGAGAGGTTGAATTGATATTTACTTCACATTTTAAAAGTGAACTGCGTGCTTCTACTTCTGCCTTTGTAATAGAAAGAGTCACTGAAAACCTTCCATATGTTTCATTACCTTCAGAGATTTGCACTGACTTTAGTGATCTTATTTTGGCCGATCCTTTCTTTTATATTTCAAGGAACATAGATATCCTGTTTGGCGTAAATGTATTTCTGTCGTTAATCAATGGAAATTTAATTAAACGTAGTATGAGCTGTCCATTTGCATTGAGTTCTAAATTGGGTTGGATTATCTCAGGCAAAGTGACCTTTGAATCCCATGAGCCCAACAGAGTTGTGGTGAATCATTCGTGTGTAAAAACGGATGAGTTAGTGAGATCATTTTGGGAACTTGAAAATATTCCCTCATCTCGATTATTAAGTACTGAGGAAAAGTTGTGTGAAATTCAGTTCGAGAAAAGTGTTTGGAGAGATGATCACGGACGATATTATGTTGCATTACCCTTTAAACCCGATAGAAAGGCGTTAGGAGATTCTCGTGTTGCTGCCCTTAGAAGACTTTACAGTTTAGAAAGGAGACTCGCTATGAAGCCAGATATCTATAATCAGTACCGACAATTTATGCAGGAATATTTGTCGTTAGGACATATGGAGTTAATCTCACCTAATTGTAAAGACTTAGAAAATCAACATTATTATATCCCTCATCATTATATAATAAAGGAATCAAGTTTAACGACCAAGTTGAGAGTAGTGTTTGATGGCAGCACAAAATCTTCATCAGGTATTTCCCTTAATGATACCTTAATGATTGGTCCAAAAACCCAGGAAGATTTGATTAATATACTTTTAAGATTTCGTTGTCACAATATTGCAATAACAGCTGATATCAAGCAGATGTATCGACAGGTGAAGGTTAGACCTGAGGATTGTGACTTTCAACGAATAGTTTGGAGAGAGAGTTCAGAAATGCCAATACAAACTTTTCGTCTTAACACAGTCACCTATGGAACAACATCAGCTCCATATTTGGCTACGAGAGCTTTGAAGCAGTTAGCGATTGATGAGAGTGTAGAGTTTCCGAGAGCCTCAAAAATAGTATTGCGAGATTTCTATGTGGATGACATGTTGACTGGCGTAAACAACTCTGAAATGGGTAA